GAGCATTATCTTTATAAGTAGTGTCATGCCAATTGAGCTAGATGTTCCCCGAGACCATGGTCCCCAGAGCCCTCCGTCCAGCAGCTCAGTCCCTCAGGGAGTTTGGATGTGTCCATGGGGCCTCCATGACCTTTCCTTGTACAGGTTGTGTTAGTTTCCCCTGTATTGTGTACTGTCTCACCCTTCACATGGTGAATTATTTTTGATATGTTGCTGAATTCTATTGGCTAAAATTTTGTTGAGGATTTTTGCGTCTATGTTCATGAGGGATATCAGTCTGTAATTTTCTTTTTTTGTGGTGTCTTCACCTGGTTTTGGTATCAGGGTTATGCTGGCTTCATAGAATGAGTTTGAGACCACCCATTTTCATATCCAACACTTCACCAAGTAGTCCATTTTATTTTCTAAGTATCTTTCGCCTTTCCCTTTCTCTCTATTTCACTAGCATCTCCCCTAATCTGAGCTATCTTGATTTTTCATCTGAGCTACTACAATACTTTCTAATTGATCTCCCTACATCCGGTGTCTTAGCTTCCTAGGGCTGCCACAACAAAATACCACAAAGTAGGTGGCTTTGAAAATCAGAAATTTATTGTTTCACAATTTTGGAGGCTAGAAGTCCAAACCAGGGTATCAGCTCTAGGGGATGGCCCTTCCTTGTTGGAAGACCAGGGTGTTCCTTGGCATCCCTTGGCTTGTAGATTGTTCCTCACATGTCTCTTCCCCCACGTGTGTGTGTCTCTCCCTGTCTGTTTTCCTTTTTTATAAGACATCACTCAGAATGGATTAGGTTTAGGACTCACCCTACTCTAGCATGGGGTGCAAATGTTTAAGGTGCTCAGCTGCTAACTGAAAGGTTGGAGATTTGAATCCACCCAGAGGCCCCTCAGAATAAATATCTGGTGGGGATCTACTTCTGAAAAATCAGCCACGGAAAACCCTATGGAGCACAGTTCTACTCTGACACACATGGGGTCACTATGAATCAGAGTTGACTCAACAGTAACTGGAAAACTCTGGTATGGCCTCATTAACATCACAAAAGAAAACCCCTATTTCCAAACAGGGTCACATTCATAGGAACAGGTGTTAGGAGTTCAACATTATCTTTTCTGGGGACACAATTCAATCTAGGATACCCACTCTTCTCTTCTAATTCACATCCTATGCTGTAGTAAAAGTGATCACTCCAAAATGCAAACTTAATCATGTCAAAAAAAAAACCCAAACCCATTGCCATCAATTCGATTCCAACTCATAGCGACCCTATAGCACCCCACCAAAAAGAACAAACCCATTGCTGCCATCGAGTCCATGCCAACTCGTAGTGACCCCATAGGACAGAGTAGAACTGCCCCATAGGGTTTCCAAGGAGGAGCTGGTGGATTCGAACTGCCAACCTTTTCGTTAACAGCCAAGTTCTTAACCACTGCACCACCAGGGCTCCTTAAACTTATATAGCAATCTGTTAGTGGTGTTCTGAGTGGTTTATTTTGACACCAGGAAAAAAGATAAAAAACATAAAATCAAAGAAATAAAAACCTTACAATCCTAAATTTGAATTGGAAATAGCAGTTAGAATTCTTGATGTATTTTTTCTTAAAAAAAAAAAAAAAGGTATTTCCTAGCTCTATCCATTGAAAAGGACAAAGGAAGGCAGGGAGGGAGGAAGGGGGAGAGATACAGACTACAAATGACACAGGTGTTCCAGGCCCTGCCCACTGTCTAGTTCCCTGAGCAGGTCTGCCCTGAGAACACACCTTAACCAGGTAGTGCCAACACCTGCGTAGGCCACACTCCATTCTCAGCAGCCTGCACATTGCAGAGACCCTTGTGATTTGAGAATCATCCTTGGGATCCTAACATCAGAGTAAAAGAGCTGAGTGGAACAGGGGTCGTTTTCCTGCCTCCCTGGCCTACACATAAGAGGAGGGAATTAGAGCAGGGATGCAGCTGCCCCCACGTTTCCCATGGGTTTTCTCTTCTTAAAATACCATCACTTTCCTTCCTGGTCTCTTTAAAGGACCCAGTGTCTGCAATATCCCATTTAAATGTGCGGCCATTCATTTGGTCAACAAATCTCCACTGAACACTTACGTGACAGGCACCGTGCTACGCACAGGGGATACTGAGATGACTCCACAGTCTGGTGGGGAAGAAAGGCATTCTAACATAATAGAATGTTACCAGTGCTGTAAGAGAGGTAGTATATAGAGAGCCTAACTATCCCTGAAGGAGCCCTGGTGGTGCAGTGATTAAAACAATTGACTGTTAACCAAAAGGTTGGTGGTTCAAAACCACCAGCCACTCTGCAGGAGAAAGATGTGGCAGTCTGCTTCCGTAGAGATTTACAGCCTTGGAAACCCTATGGTCACTATGAGTCAGAACTGACTTGATGGCATTGGGTGGATAACTATCCCTGAGGAGCCTTTTACTATTTTTTATCAGGTATCTCTTGCTGTATAACAAACCACTTCAAAAATTAGTGGCTTAAAACAATCATTTTATATGCCACCAATTCTTTCAACAGTTTGGTCATGTTGTAGGGGAAAAACATCACAAAGTTTAGTAAAGCAAAAAGAAAGTTTTATGTGGCATATATTCAAAAAAGGCAAAAGTGGGAAAACAGGCAAGCATGCTGCCAGAGCCATGTCCACCTGAGTCCAAGTCATCAGTATACAATTAACATTACAAAACGGGAAAAACCATTGAAAGCTTCACCTTTTCACAGATTGGCTAGAAACTATGATCCTACATTTTGAATTGTCTTTCATAATAATCATTGGTACAAGTTTCAGTAATGACAGTCAGGATGGTCTTCATTGGTCAAACAAATCTTACTATTCACTAAATGCTAATAAAAAAAGATAAGGGTAGAACATATGTGGGTCATTAGTGCTCTGTTTATGTGAAAGTTCCCTAAAAGATGTTTTCCAAGATTGTCCTAGCTACTGCCTTTATACCTCAGGGTCCAGTTGATGTGTCCTTGTGAGTCCAGCTCCAGCTGAGTCACATTCTAGGACAAGGAAAAATGGCTCCAATATTATCTCCTAAATCAGTCAGAATCAGTCTGCCTGAATATATGTGTGTCATCAAGTAGATTCCAACTCACAGTGACCCTATAGGACAGAGTAGAATGTTCCATAGTGTTTCCAATGCTGTAATCTTTACAGAAGCAGCTTCCACATCTTTCTCCCTAGGAGCAGCTGGTGGGTTCGAACCATTGACCTTTCAGTTAGCAGGGGAACACCTAACCACTGCACCACCAGGGCTAGTTTGGGATTATTCATGTGGCTACAATCAGCTAGAAGATCATCATCTGGGGCTACTTGGTCTAGGGGACCTCAGCTGAGACGGCTTGCCTCTGCTCCACGTGGTCTCATCTTCTGGTAGGCTAGCTCAAGCTTCTTCATATAATGGTGAAAAAGTTTTCAGCAGCAAGAGAGGGCAAGCCCACCACATAAGCACTAGTCATTGTTCCATTGCCCAAAGCAAGTCGCATGGTCAAGCCCAAAGTCAGTGTGTGAGGGGACTACACACGGGTATGCTTACAGGTAGGTATGGTTCATTGGAGCCTTGGGGGCACAGTGGTTAAGAGCTTGACTGCTAACCAAAAGGTCAGCAGTTCAAATCTACCAGCTGCTCCTTGGAAGCCCTATGGGGCAGTTCTACTCCGTCCTATAGGGTTGCTATGAGTCTTTGATGTGGTGAAATCAGGTGAAATTGTGCACTACAGACTAGTAAGTAAGCACAAGTAAGCCTGTGCATACCTTGCTTATTGGGTAATCCGTCCCTGCTTATTAAACAAATACTTCACAAATACTTCACTTTGTCGGCTCTAGTTCATTTTTCAAATGGATGCATGGTATTCATCATTTATCCAGTCATTCCCCTAGTGATGGGATCTACTTTGTTTCTAGATTTTTGTCACTATGATCAATGCTGCAATAAACATCTCTGGACGTATGTTCTTACATATTGGTGTTTTTTTTATTTCTGTGGGACCAACTCCACATAAGTAAGTACTATACCGTTATTACCATTATTATTTACAGTATTTTCTGACATCTGGTAATGTAAGTCTTCCTCACTAGTCTTTTTCATATACTGTAATTCATGGCCACTTATTCCTCCATATTTAACATCATTTTACCCAATGAGAAAAATACTCTATTGGAATTATTAAATTTACAATAATTTACATATTAATTTGGTTCTTCTCATCCAAAAACGTGGTGTTTTTCCATTTGTTCAGATCTCCTTTTCTGTTCTGCAGGAATGTCAGGAGGAGGAGACGTGATAAGGATTTCAGGACTGCTTTTTCCCTATTTCTCCTCTCACTCTTCTCCTTTAGCAGCCAGTTCTTTCCTCAGCAGCACCCTGCTTTCCTACACATACTCCAGATGCCTGCCCAAAGGACAAGATCCCAGATCTATAGAGTAAATGGGCTAAAAGGCTTTCCTGTCTGGAAAACGGACCGATCCCAAGCTGGTCAAGAGGTTTGGTCAGGTTTCCTATGAGAGGAAGGTTTTATATCCTTGCCTTGAGGGCTGGAAGCCTGGAATAGCATTCCCTGCAAAGCTGGCAGAAAGATCCCTTTCCAGAATAAAAAAAGAAAAAGAAAATCTGATTTGCATGTCATTAGAAACGGCAACGAACAACAAGCTATACGTATCTTAAAAGAGGAAGGAAGAAACGGGAAAAGCGGAAGACCGGTTCTAGTCAGCCCCACCTCTTACGCTGCCTTGAATCAGCCGTACATTCCCACCGTGGCCGAGGCAGTCTCAGGGCTCTGGGTCTCTGCTACAAGGGCCTTCGAGGGAGCCCAGGGACGCACCGCGCCACAGGGAGCAGTGGAGAGGAGCCTAGCCCATTGTAAATTGACTCACATGGGCTCGAGTGACCTGGGGTCGTGGGTGGGGGAAGGAGGTTCCCAACTCAGACGAAGTATAATTTGCCTAATGATCTTCATTGTTTTCCTGTTCTGCTACATAAAAAAGGAGCCCTGGTGGCGCCGTGGTTAAACGCAGCTGCTACCCGAAAGGTCAGCGGGTTGGTTCTAACCCACCAGCCGCTCAGCGGGAGAAAGATGTGGCAGTCTGCTCCGGTAAAGATTTACAGCCTTAGAAACCCTATGGGGCAGTTCTGCTGTGTTCGGTAGGGTCGCTATGAGTCGCAATCGACTAGAGGGCAGTGGGTTTTTCTTTTTTGCTACATCAAACGGCCATTCCTATTCACCCCCTTCCAGTCTCTGCCTTCTGTGTGGGATCTGTGTGGAGGCGGCAGGGGACCTCCAAGGAAGGACGCGAGCGGAAGCCAGTTCTTGCCGAGACCAACAAAGGGACGCTGGCTGGCCTGCAGAGGGCGCTGGAATATCGGCTTGAAAGCTGTGCTTCCGGAAGAATCTCCTGGCTCCCTCCCATTTTCTAACCTGTGTCCTCAGAGAACATGTTAGCTGCGCACTTTGACAAGCCGGGAGGACCGAGCCTAGGAGAGGGTGAAGTCCTCCTCAGGTGGCGGCCAGCGCCCTGAACCGGGCAGACTTATTCCAGGTACCCAGAAGCCAGGTGTAGCTGGTGCAGGGCGGGACCTCAGAGCCTCCCTCAAGGTCGGCTTTCAATAAACATTTACCTGACGAAGGAATGGCACAGGGCCCTGATAGTAACTCATCTGGATGTGTGCAGAGCCGTCTGTTGGGAGTTCTGAGAGACAGAATCATTTAGCCTCCTTTGTTTCCACAAAACAAAATGCAAGGGATATTTGCAAAGCCGAATCCACCCAGTTTTAATCTATAGTCTACCCAGGCCTCCAGATAAGGAGCTACCGTTTGTTCAGTGTATGCGGGTGTGTGCTATCTCATTTTCTTCTCACAGCAGCCCTATTCACTATTGGCATTTTACAAATAAAAAACCCTGAGACTCAGAGAGGTTAAAGAATATGCCCAAGGCCACACTACTACTAATCAGGGGAGCTGTGATTCAAGCCAAGGTTTTTGTGGCTCCAAAGTTTGCACTCTTTCCGTTCAGAGTTTCAGGTCTGGCAGTGGGTGGGACTCTTACCAGACGTTTTCTTCTGCCTGCTGTTTGACTCCTAAAACAGACCTGCTGTGGTAGGTTGGGGTCATTCAGACATGTGCATCAGAATTACCTGGGACACCTCCCCACTTCACTGCCTGAAATCAACATAACCAGGGCCCAGGCAAGTGTACTTTGAAAGAGCTCCTCAAGCTATCCTGATGCACAATCTAAAGCCTCTGCAGGGTCAGAGGCTCTGAGGGCTGGGGTTCGTTCCTAGCACAGCTTGGCACTTGATACATATTTGGTGGCTACTCTTAAGGGAACTATTTGAGTCCAGGTTTTGTTCCTAGTCTTGCTACTAACATGTTTTGTGACCTTGTACAAGGCATTTCCCTGCCCAGCTCTCAGTTTCTTCATTTGTAAAACAAGAGGTTTAGATTAGGGAAAAAGATCCTACCAGTTATAACATCCACTGATTAGTGACCTACAGCCTCTTATTTGCATAAGACAAATTACCTCTTCTCTCCCTTTTTCTGACTTACTGGAGCTGATTTACCAAAGCTGGCCTTACCGTTTCAGAAAAAGAGGGTCAAGGATGGTGACATACAGATTTCTGATCATGCTCACCATGTACTGTGTGTTCCTCTCTCTGCAGAGACAAGGCCAGTATGCCCCACCCCCAGGAGCCAGCAGCATTTTGGGACTGGAGGCATCTGGACATGTGGCCGAGCTGGGTGCCAGATGTTGGGCACTGGAAGCCTGGAGACTCAGCCGTGGCTCTGCTACCTGGTGGGGGCCAGGCTTAGTATGTCACTGTCCCTGAAGAGCTCCTCATGCCCATCCTGGCAGGACTGTCCCTGACCCAGGCTGCAGCCATCCCAGAGGCCTGGCTCATGGCCTTCCAGCTGTTATATCTCTTGGGTGAGGAACCCCCCATTCTCACTCTATTAGCATGGCTCAATTCCTCCATAACTCAGCCCTCCCAAACCCCAGCTTTGGCCTGGACACCTATCCACACCAAGTCCCAGAACTTCACCCTGCTGAACCACCACTAGCATTAGGCCCTCAAACCATGTTAGCAACGGTTTGATGTTGAGGCTGAAAATCACAGTTAGCAGATAGAAGGCCTATAAGGCACTTGATAGAAGCCATGTGCACATCTTCACACTATAGGCCCAGCAGAAGTCCCAGCTTCTACAAGTCAGCTGAGCTTCTCTCTCAGAGCCCAAGTGCAGAAGAAGGTGCCATTCTATCAACTCATTTATTCCTCCCCAAGCCTACTGAGGCCAGCTAAGAGGTCACATGAGGGCACCTAAGGAGACTTGGCCTCTACAAAGGGAGCCAGTGTAACTAGGAAGACAAGATACGGACATGGGAATTTCACAGGAAACAGACAACCATAGAGTTAGAAAGTGTGGCCCTGTCTCTAAAAACAACGGAAGCTCAAGATGGGAAAGTCAGTGTAGGCAAGGATAGTCAGAGAAGGCTTCCCAAAAGGCAGGACTTGAGGGGTAGAGTTGTGATGGACAGAAGGCATGCCAAACATCAGGGGTGACCTAAGAAATAGCATTAAGGTGAGATGGGCTGCTCTGCTCAGGAGTCACTTGTGAGAGATGAGTCTGTGACTAGACTGTGGTGGCATAGAATGCCAGGCTGTCTGGACTTGATGCAAAAGCCAACTGTAAACCACCTTACATTTTGAGCAGGAAGTGACATAATGAAAGCCCCGTTTTAGGAGGAGCCTGGTGGCTGTGTGTGTTGCTTGGGATGGTAAGGAGATAAATGGGTGAGTGAAAGCAGCTAGAGGCCAGTTTCAGACTGAAGAAGGACTGGCTTCAGGAGGTGACAGCAGGAATGTGGTTATTCATACTTGTTGAGGTATATAGCAGAGATGTAAGGTAAAACAGAGATTATGGATATAGCTGCTAATAACTCTGTTTTAAAAGGTTGTTTTCCACTTTGACTAGAGGCTACCAGTATAGACAAAAAGGAAGTTAAGAGAGCAAGAGATCTGGCATTTGGTGGTTGTCTTAGTCATCTAGTGCTGCCATAACAGAAATACCACAAGTGGATGGTTTTAACGAAGAGAAATTTATTTCCTCACAGTCAAAGTAGGCTCAAAGTCCAAATTCAGGGCGTCAGCTCCAGGGGAAGGCTTTTTCTCTGTCAGCCTTCTTCTCTTTGGTGTCCCCCTGGACTAGGAGCTTCTCTGCGCAGGGACCCCAGTCCAAAGGACGCGCTCTGCTTCCGGCACTGCTTTCTTGATGGTATGAGGTCCCCCTGTCTCACTGCTCACTTCTGTCTTTTATATCTCAAGAGATTGCCTCAGGACACAATCCAGTCTTGTAGATCAGGTCCTGCCTTGCTAACACAACTGCCACCCATCCTCCCTCATTAACATCATAGAGGCAGGTTTACAACATACAGGAAAATCACACAGTACCAGGAATCATGGCCTAGCCAAATTGATACACACATATTTTGGGGGACATAATTCAAACCATGACAGTGGTCCTGACGCCAGGTCACCATGGTGGAATATGCCTGCGTGGGGAATGTGTGAATGTGTAGCAGTTGCAAAGTAAAGAGAACTGTTCCTGTACTTACTGTCATAGGAAATGCTCAGGCCGGAGAGTCTGTGCTAATCCATCTGGGTTCAAGTGGTGTGGGCACAGCTGCCATCCAACTCACTCAGATGGCTGGAGCTATTCCCTCTGGTCATGGCTGGCTCGCAGCACAAGCTTCCAATGGCAGAAAAGCTTGGAGCAGCTGCTGGATTCAATTACAAAGAAGAGGACTTTTCTGAAGCAACGCTGAAATTCACCAAAGGTAAACAACTGCTTCTGCAGCTCAGCAGGAATGTCAGAGATGATTAAATCCTTACCAGCCTCAAGGTTGCCAGTGCTTTGGATTGGCCTTGTCTCTGCTAAATGCACAACAGCTGGCCTGGTCAAATTCTAGTACCCTGGGGTTTGACCACTGGGGACAGGCAATCAGTATGTAGGACTGAGATCGTTTCCATGTGCAGTCTTGCAAATGATATAATTCATATACGTTTTAGAAGCTGGGTGATTATCAAGAGTTGACTTGGAATTTTCCAGGACCTCTTCTTCCCAACCAGCCACTCCACAGTGAGTTCACAGGAGCCTTGAGGCACAGACCAGTGTGGATCTGGACCTAGTAGGGTTGGGGTAATAGGGATGTGCATGCCTCTTCATTCCAAAGCCAAATATGTGTAATTTTTGGCTCATCCCTTCCAATTTTTCATGAGTAGACAATTGAGTGCAGACATTTTATAACTTAGGTATGAACAACTAATCTGCCCTGTAGCCTGGGTAGACCTCCTCTGTTCTGTTCTCACTCATACCTGGGTGCCAGTGCACACTGTACTTATGTGGTGGTAAGGGGAGACACCAAGTCATGGTGTCACCCTATTTCCGTCTTGCTACCTTCTTGTGACTAGGGGTCATAAAAGATGAACTGTTCACACATACCATGATAGAGTTCAGCTACTTAAACTACATTTGTAACGTTTCCATGAGCAATGTTGCTAGTTCCAACCTATAAATTTACCACATGCACTGTACTTAATTTATACCCATATATCCACAAATATAGGGTCGCTGTGAGTCGGGACAAACTGGATGGCACCTAACAATCCATAAATATACCATAGAGTCTTATTTTACGCCAAGTTTTCTGGGCCTGACTCGCATCACAAATCTGCGTTTCATGTGAAAGGTGTTGGAGTCAACCTTATTCTAGACTGTATAGGTGGATCCTACTGGGAGAAGAATGTCAACTGCCTGGCTCTTGATGGTCGCCAGGTTCTCTATGGTCTGTTGGGAGGAGCTAACATCAGTGGGCCTCTGTTGCCAAAGCTACTTTTTAAAAGAGGAAGTCTAATCACCAGTCTGCTAAGATCTAGAGACAAACAGGTAAGTGATGTGTGAAAAGAAAACATGGTTTCATTTACATAAAAGTGTGAGAAGGGAGCTTTGTCACATCTTAGATAGTTTATGTAGAAACCTGCCCCCCTGGGTATATACCCCGATTTAGAGAACCAATTAGAGTTAGTCAACAGAAGCCTCAACATCTTGAAAAGAGGGTGGCTAATACTTCATACAGAATCTAAACTTTCTAACAAAATGAACAAAGTATTGAGCATATTAGGAAGGAGTTCTAATAGTTCCAAGACTGTTTTCAAAGGCACTCTCCTCAGTGTGCTAAGAAAGTAATACATGTTACAGAAATCTGTGTGGCATTCTAGCAGTCACCAACTTTGGGAATGTTTCCCAGTATGGGTTTCACAACTGCTGGAGGAAAGTAGAGCTCAAACATCCCTTTTGCACAGAGCCTACGTAAGTTCTTTCTGTGGCTGCCTCTTGCTTGAAGCTTTTATTTAGAAGCAGCCCTCTGGCTGTTACTGACAGTAATATTTTACTCCCAGCTTCAATCCTTATCTAGTACAGAACAGAGGTTACACATTTGGGGGCAGGCACATAAATGCTAGGAAGTGAAGTGGGTATCCCTGTGTGTTTTTTCAGACGTGTACCAGTTTGAGAGAGATCAGAAAGGATGGGGAGTGGCAGGGTAAGGCCTCAGTCCAGGCTGATGGGTTCCTTTTCCGTTATCTTAGTATAAGCAAATGCTGGTGAAGGCTTTCACGGAACAAGTTCTGCCTCACTTCTCCACGGAGGACCGCCAACGTCTGCTGCCCGGTCTGGATATAGTCTACCCGGTGACTGAAATCCAAGAGGCCCATGTGTACATGGAGAGTAACAAGAACGTGGGCAAAATCGCCCTGAAGCTGCCCCAGTGAAGGCAGAGGGGGCAGTACAGGACACGGCCACCTCAGGCCTTCTCAGAGTAAACTTGAAGAAAAATTCACAGGCAAGAGATCCGGCGCTACTCCCAGACCCACCTCTAAACCACTGTCCCTTCTCAACTTGTCAACTGACCCATATTAAGCAGGTCTGAAGAAACAGAGGGTGGAGTTGAAGCGTGGTGTGCTCACAGGCAGCCCGCGCGAACTAGGGCTGACTGGCAGGAGTGAGGTGGGAGCTGGGACAGGTGACGGGGATTACAGGAGAGGCCACCGAGGTGGGGGGCAGAGGGGGGGCTTGCCCCCAGGCACAAGTCCAAGAAGGCGTCAGACATGGCACCCCCGGGAGCCACAAATAATGAAAGGCACCTGAGACAGCCAGACAAGGGGGGAGAGGGGGCGTTTCTGCTGACGCATCGCCGCTATCTAATTCATCTTGAAATTGGGGGGTTGGGGGGGTGGGTGCAACTTAGAAATTGCCCCTGGGCACTGGAATTGAGTGGGGGAAGCGCTGTTTAGAGATTGTCCGTGAGCGCTCGTTCCCTCGCTACGCCTCTGAGAGGCCAGTCCAGCCGAGGCTCAACCAGGGGGAGGCACTACGGAGGACTGGGGGTCCGGGATAAGGTTACAGCGTCAGCCTCGACACAACCCGCCAGAACCGGTGAACGCTTGCCCTGTGCACTGCCAGAAGTCCAGGCTCATCCACGAGTTCCCCCACGCCTCGCTCCGCCCGTCCTACAACCCGGAGTTTCTCGCCAAGCTTGGTCCCCTTCCCGCAACCCACCTAAGCTCTGCACCACCCCCCGCCACCCTCCCCAGGCCCCCCACCCGTTTCAGTTAGCTCGCTCCGCTCAGGGTCTCCTCGACCGGAACACCTCCCTTTCTGGAACTGGGGCCCCGCCCTTTCCGGCCCAGGACCCGGAAGCATTTTCCACTCTCTACTTTCACTTCCCGACCTCGTACTTATCTCAGGCTCGCTTTGCCCCGGGAGTCTTCTCGAAAGAGGACGGATAGTACGTCAGCACGTCTCGACGTGAAACGGTGATTTTTCCAGCGTTGTTTCAGCAGCTTCCGGTGGAGCCTGCATGTTGATGTCCTGCGTTTGACACTATTGCGCTCGAAGTGGAGCGAGCTCTGGAAGTGTCCGGAGGATTCCAGTATTTGTTACGGTAACTTCATCAGCCTGCCAAGATGGCGATGCAAGCGGCCAAGAGGGCGAACGTGAGTAGTGGGGCCTTCTGCAGAGGAGGGAGAGCACTTCCCTGTTTGACTTTCTCAGAGGCGTGGATCAGAGCATCCTTACTCCTCCGTCCCCTGGGCGGGGAAGCCCAAATTTTCCTATCCCATCCGAGGGGATTCCACGCTGCCCCGGTCCTCGGGTATGCTCATTGAGTCACACTTCTGCCCCCCACCCCTTTTGAAAGTTCCTAAAGTCTCTATCTTAGTGTTAGTGACAGTGTTAGCCTTACAGCCTTTGTTGCTTGACCTGTGTTTAGGACCTGGTATCAGGATCTTGTCCTCAGCCTAAAAAGGGATAGCTTAGATGAGTTCTAAACAAACAACTTAATGGTTCAGAGGCTACTAAAACTTAGGATTCTCTTCAGATCAGGGGATTTTTTTGGGTCCTTCATTAACTTATTAATTCAACAGTGTTTATTGAGACTTGCTATATACCAGGCTTGCGAGGTAGGAAACAATTCATTAGTTATATTTATTGCCTTACTACATACCAGCCACTAATGTAGGTAATGGACATAGAGCAATGAATAAAACAAAAAATCCTTGCCCTATAGATGCTTACATTCTAGTGTTAGTGAGTGAAGGTCTAAAGAAGAATGTCTCAAGAAGGAGGTAGTGGTGCTGAGAGGTATAATACGATGACAGATAATTGAACACTGGATATGGCTATAAACCGAAAACCAAAGCCGCTGCCATCGAGTCGATTCCGACTCATAGCGACCCTGTAGGACAGGGTAGAACTGCCTCATAGGGTTTCCCGGGAGCGGCTGGTGGCTTTGAGCTGCTGACCTTTTGGCTACAGCCAAGTTCTTTAACCACTGTGCCACCAGGGCCCCGGATATGGCTGTGGTGAGATGGAAAATTTAAGCGAATTTACTAGAGAAATGTATTTTGATCGTCTGCCAGTACTGATTGTCTATTTGAACTTAACCTTGAATTATGATATTTAAAACTGTATTGTACTTATTTGTTTCCTAGTTGTCAACACTACTTATAATTGTCTTTTAATATAAAAATAACTAAATAGTTATTGAGTAAATTAATGTTGAGTATTTAGTATGTTAATCAGGAGCACAGGAGCAAGATCTAGACTGGATATATATATTTGAGAGTCATCAAGTTACTTTGGAAACTATGGGTGTGGTTAAGAGACCAGTCAGAGAGAATGTAAAGAGTTAAGGGGAGTATACAAAGGATCAAGAAAAGAAGTCTAAAGATAAAGCCCTGTGCAGGAGCATATTTTAATGGTAAAGAAGACTGAGAAGAAATAGCCAGAGAGTTAGGAGGAAACCAAGAAAATGGAGTGTTGCAAGAAGGGACTACTCAGCAGTGTCAGAAATCTCAGGCTAAGTATGATGAGGATTGAGCATTGCAATTAAAAGGCCTTAGGGAGCCTTATATATATATTTTCACTATATATTCCTGATACCTAACCTGGTGTGTAAGAAGGTGCGTAGTAAATATTTGTTGGTTGAAAGCAGAGTGGTCTAGATAAGTAGTCTGTTTTGTGAAAAGATGGGCAGGATGTGAGCAGCTGCTCATGGGAGGACAAGAAGAAGCTAGTGGTGAGGGAAAATTTGTAAATTCGAAAGAGAGAAGAGGTCATTGATACAAGTCCCTGAGAAGACCATAGAACAGTCATCAATGGGAATTTTATTGTCTAGCAAACAGGAACAATTCCCTTCTTTCTTTCCCACATACAGTCTGAGGTGTCTAGGACTTTTAAATGTGGTTAAAAGTTCTTATTTAACTATAATGACCGAAAGTCTGGTTTTATCACAGGTTCCTACTAACAGTCTTCTCTGGAACCATCACCCATTTGCTTTTCTGAAGAGTATGTCATTTACATCAGATGATAATTCTTATTCTTGGCATTTTACTATTATGTATTAGTGAGAATTTTTTCTGAATGGTAGCACTCCTGTCCTGATTACAACAACATGTATTTCTTATTTTAGATTCGACTTCCGCCTGAAGTAAATCGGATTTTGTATATAAGAAATTTGCCATACAAAATCACAGCTGAAGAAATGTATGATATATTTGGAAAATACGGACCTATTCGTCAAATCAGAGTGTGAGTCTTACTGATATTTTTAAAATGTAGTTTAAAGAAAACGATTGCATAACCTATAATCTCAGAATTATTGCTAAAAGCAGGGCCACCATGTGTGGCTAAACAGGGTGTGCAGTGCAGCACCCCTAACCAAGAGCCGAGAGGCTAACAGACTGAAATCAGGGAGATGAGATTTTTTTTTTTATAGGAGGGAAAAAAACTGTACAGTCCCTAATGATCCAGCTTAATGAAAGCCAGGAATACTAATGGAGAAATTATAAAGAGAGAGTGATGTAGTAATGAATTTTTTGAGTAGAGTGGAAGAGAAGGGAAGGAACTAACATTTATCACATACCTACTATTTATAAGGAGTCCCTGGATGGTGCAAACGATTAACGTACTCATTAATCAAAGGGTTGGAAGTTTGAGTCTGCCATGCTTTGTATGTCTAGAGGCACTTCAGAAGAAAGGCTGGGTGACCTGTTTCCCAAAAATCAGCCATTGAAAGCCCTGTGGAGTACAGTTCTGCTCTGATGCATATGGGGTCACCATGAGTCAGAGTCAAGTCAACGGCAACTGGTTTTAGGAGGCAGTGATGGTTCAGTGGTAGGATTCTTGCCTTTCAAGCAGGAGACCCAGGTTCAATTCCTGGCCAGTGCACCTCAAGTACAGCCACCACCAGTCTGTCATTGGAGGCTTGTATGTTGCTATGATGCTGTACAGGTTTCAGCAGAGCTTCCATACTAAAACTTACTAGGAAGAAAGACCTGGTGATCTACTTCTTTTTTTTTAAAAAACATTTTATTGTTGTTTAGGTGAAAGTTTACAAAGCAAATTAGTTTCCCGTTCAACAATTTATACACAGCTTGTTTCGTGACATTGGTTGCAAACCCCTGAATGTGTCAGCAGCCTCCTCCCTTCCTCCCTGGTTCCCCATGTCCATTCGCCCAGCTTTCCTGCCCTTACCTTCCTTCTGATCTTTGCTTTTGGGTCAGTGCTGCCCTTTAGATCTCGTATAGTTGATTGTTCTAAGGTGCACATTCCTCACTGGTGTTACTGTTCATTTTTTTAGGCTTGTCTATTGTATGGCTATAATGCGATCTCCGGGAGTGACTTCAGTTCCAAGTTTGAAGGGTGTCTAAGGGCCATAGTCTCAGGGGTTCCACCAGTCTCTATCAGACCAGTAAGTCTGGTTTTATTTATGAGTTTGAATTTTGTTCTACATTTCTCTCCCACTCTGTCTATGACCTACTGTTGGCCCGGGTCCAAGTGGTCAGTAGTGGTAGCCAGGCACCATCTAGTTCTTCTGGTCTCAGGCTAGTGAAGGCCATGGTTCAGAATTAGTCCTTTGGACTAACTGTTTCCATGAGTCTTTGTTTTCTTCACTCTTTGCTCTGGATGGGAAGAGACCAATTGTTGTATCTGAGATGGCCGCTCACAAGCTTTTAAGACCCTAGCTGCTGCTCACCAAGGTGGGATGTAGAACATTGTATGGTTTATGATATTCTAATTGACCTAGGTGTCCCCTGAGACTATGGTCCCTAGCCCTGAAGCCCAGTATCTCAGTCCCTGGAGGTGTAGGGTTGTGGCTAAGACGTTTTTGTGACCGTGTCCACTGTGCGCACTATTGCATAGATGTGTATATTTTCAGCATGTACGCATATATGTACATGGGTGAACTTCCATATGCCCTCCCACACCTGTTCAGCTTACATATCTACTTGTCTATCCCCTCTTACATTATTGTTTGTTATTACTGTTGTCGCAGGATTATATGTGTATTTACTGTTGTTGTCTTTTACTTTTGGGTACCTTTCTGTGTTTTCCTTTACCTTGATTATGTTGTGCTGACTTCCCCCATATTGTGTATTATCTCTCCCTTCACCAGAGTTAGTACGTGTCTACTATCTAGTTAGTGGTTTTCCCTCTCTCCTCCTTCCCCCATCCCTGGTAATCATCAAAGCATGTTTCCATCTGTGTGTAAACCTTTTTATGAGTTTCTGTGATAGTAGTCTCATGCAGTATTTGTCCTTTTGTAATTGACTTATTTCACTCAGCATAATGCCCCCGCAGATTCATCTGTGTTGTGAGATGTTTCACAGATTCATCATTGTTCTTTATCATTGCGTAGTATTTCATTGTGTGTATGTACCACAGTTTGTTTATGCATTCATCCGTTTATGGACACTTAGGCTGTTTCCATCTTTTTGCTATTGTAAATGCTGCAGTGAACATGGGTGTGTATATGTTTGTTCGTGTCCTGGCTCTTATTTCTCTAGAATATATACCTAGGAGTGGGATTGCTGGATCATATGGTATTTCTGTTTCTAGCTTTTTGAGGAAGCGGGAAATGATTTTCTATAGTGGTTGTAGAAAAAGAAAGAACTATAGAAAATTATTTCCTCCTTCTTCAAAAAGCTATAAATCATTTTCTGTAGTGGTTGAGGAGCCCTGGTGGTGCAGTGGTTTAGAGCTCAGCTGCCAACCAAAAGGTCAGCATTTTGAATCCACTTGGAAACCCTGTGGGGCAGTTCTGCTCTGTCCTATAGGGTTGCTGTGAGTCAAAATCGACTCGACAGCAACAGGTATGGTTTTTGGTTTCATAGTGGTTGTACCATTTTACATTCCCATGAGCAGTGTATGAGAGTTCCAATCTCCCCATAGCCTTTCCAGCATTTGTTGTTTTCTGTTTTTTTGATCAGTGCCATTATTATCGGTGTGAGATGGTATCACATTGTAGTTTTGATTTGCATCTTTCTGATGGCTAATGATCGCGAGCTTCTCTTCATGTATTTATTGGCTGCATGGATGTCCTCTTTGGTGAAGTATCTGTTCTTGTCCTTTGTCATTTTTTAATTGGGTTGTCTTTTTGTTGTTGGGAGTTTTCTGTACATTTTAGAGATTAGACCTTTGTCAGATATATTGTAGCCAACATTTTGATAGTTGATTTATGCCATAAATTAGGGCTCCTAGGTTTGCCCCTATTTTTTCTTCTATGATCTTTATAGTTTTAGGCTTTACATTTAGGTCTTTGAACCATCTCGATCATAGTTTTTGTGTTTAGTGTGAGGTATGGATCCTGTTTCATTTTTCTGCAAATGGATATCCAGATTTGCCAGCACCATTTGTTAAAGAGACTATCTCTTCCGCATTTCATGGATTTTGACCTTTTGTCAAAGATTAACTGTCCATAAGTGGATGGTTTTGTTTCTGGGTTCTCGATTCTGTTCCATTAGTCTATGTGTCTATTGTTACACCAATACCAGGCTTTTTGGACTAATGTGCCTGTGTGGTAGGTTCTGAGATTGGGGAGTATGAGGCGTCCTGCTTTGTTCTTCTTCTTCAGTAATGCTTTACATAATCCAGGGCCTCTTTCCTTTTCATATAAAGTTGGTGATTAGTTTTTCCGTCTCATTAAAGAATGTTGTTGGAGTTTGGATTGGGATTGCATTGTGTCTGTAGGTTGCTTTGGGTAGTATTGTCATTTTCACAATGTTAAGTCTTCCTATCCATGAGCATGGTATGTTTTTCCATTTATGCAGGTCTGTCTGAGTTTCTTGCAGTAGCAGTTTGTAGTTTTCTTTGTATAAGTCTTGTACGTCCCTAGTTAGGATTATTCCCAAGCATTTTATCTTTTGGGTGGCTATTGTAAATGATACTGTTTTCCTGATTTCCTTTTCAGAGTTCTCTTGGTTAGTATAGAGGGATCCAACTGATTTTTATCCCCACCACTTTGCTAAATCCTTCTCTTAGTTCCAGTAGCTTTCTTGTAGTAGAGTCTGGGCGAATTTGTATGTATAGGATCACATCATCTGCAAATAGGGGTAGTTTTACTTCTTCCTTACTGTTATGGATTGAATTGTGTCCTCCCAAAATGTGTGTCAACTTGGCTAGGCCATGATTCCCAGTATTGTGTGATTGTCCACCATTTTGTCATCTGATGTGATTTTCCTATGTGTTGTAGATCCTGTCTGTATGATGTTAATAAGGCAGGATTAGAGGCAGTTATGTTAATAAGGCAGGACTCAATCTACAAGATTAGGCTGTGTCTTAAGTCGATCTCTTTTGAGATATAAAAGAGAAGCGAGCAGAGACGGGGGACCTTATGCCACCAAGAATGAAGAACCAGGAGGGGAGCGCATCGTTTGGATCCTGGGTCCCTGCGCTGAAAAGCGCCTAAATTAGGGGAAGATTGATGGCAAGGACCTTCCTCCAGAGCCGACAGAGAGAGAAAGCCTTCCCTTGGAGCTGGCACCCTGAATTTGGACTTCTAGCCTCCTAGTCTGTGAGAGAATAAATTTCTCTTTGTTAAAGCCATCCACTTGTGGTATTTCTGTTATAGCAGCACTAGATAACTAAGACACTTACAAATTTAGATTCCTTATTATTTCTCTATGTTGCCTTATTGCTCTAGCTAGGACTTCCAGTACAATATTGAATAAAAGTGGTGATTAAGGGCATTCTTGTCTAGTTCCCATTCTCAAGGGGAATGCTTTCAGTCTCTATTGAGAATAATATTGGTTGTTGGTTTTGAATATATGCCCTTAATTATGTTTAGGAATTTCCCTTCTATTCCTATTTTGCTGAGAGGTTTTATCAAGAATGGATGTTGGACTTTATCAAATGCCTTTTCTGCATCAATTGAGATGATGATGTGGTCTTTTTTTTATTTATATGGTGAACTACATTGATCTTCTAATGTTAAACCATCCTTCCATACCTGGTATGAATCCCACTTGGTCATTGTGTATTATTTTTTTAATATGCTGTTGAATTCTGTTGGCTAAGATTTTGTTGAGAATTTACTCTTGAGGGATATTGGTCTATAATTTTCTTTTTTAGTGGTTTCTTTGTCTGGTTTTGGTATCAGGGTTATGCTTGCTTCAAAGAATGAATCCGGGAGTATTCCTTGCTTTTCTATATTCTAGAATAGTTTGAGCAGGATTGGTGTCAACTCTTCTCTGAATGTCTGGTAAAACTTTCCAGTAATGCCATCTGGGCTAGGGCTTTTTTTTGTGGGAGTTTTTTTTAATAATCGCTTCAATTTCTTCTTTTGTAATGGGTGGTGATCTACTTCTGAAAATCAGCCAGTAAAAATCCTGTGGATCATAACTGTGTGATCCCATTGTGCATAGGGTCGTCATGAATCGGGCCCATTCACGGTCAGCTAACAACAGCAACTATTTATAAAGCCAGGTGCTCTACTGTGTTCTTTATATGCATTAACTCTGATTTTCTCAACAGTCTTCACTGTCCATTTTACTGATGCCAAAATTTCTCAATTAAACATGAGTAAAGGGTATAAAACTGAGAAGAATGACTCTTTCAATGGCTGCTTTCTATTGAAGATTTAAAAGTATGGGGGGAAGTATCTAATTATAATAAGAATTCTTGTTTTAAATTAATCTAAATATTGGGGTTCATACCTTCAAATGATATTTACCGAATATCTACCGAATACCATTCACTGTAAGAGGTGCTTTTAATTGCATCAACAATACTGAAGCCCTGTGTGGAGGTGATACTGTGTCTGTCTTACAGTGCCAGACACATAGAAGAAGCACAGTATATATCTCTTGGATAAGTTAGTAAAAGCTTAACCCAGAAAAAACTGAACCTGTTGGCTTCAAGTCAGTTTCAACTTATAGTGACCCTATAGGACAGAGTAGAACTGCCCCATAGCGTTTCCAAGGAGGAGCTAGTGGATTTGAACTGCTGACCTTTTGGTTAGCAGCTAAACAGTTAACCACTGCACTATCAGGGCTCCGAAGTCCAGAGAGGTTAAGTTAAATGATTAGGTTTTCTTATTCCTACTTGTAAGCTTTTACCACCAGTAAGAACATAATGTTGACTCAGTGCTTAACACACAGTAGGTACTGATTATATACTTTTAAAAATTTAAATTATAAAGTTATTCTCAAGATACGAGGTTGACAATTAGGGGCTGGGACATGAGAGATGGAGAGTCTATAAAATGGAATTAGTGCCTATCCCTATTCCACTTTCTTAGAAAATTTAGGAGGAAGGAAAAGTTATATTATTTTAGCTTTCTGGAGAAAGGTTGTGTGACAGAATTGATAGAAAGTAGGTCTTTGCCTTTCAAATACGTATTAGCATTTGCTGTATGCATGGCACTGTGGGAGTAAAATGAAGTTATGTGACCATCTTTGCCCTTAAGATCTTGTTCAAGTTTTTTCTTTTTATTTCAAAGGAAAAATGAGGTCCACTATTTCGGAAAATATTTGGGGCAATTGTTTTTCTTTCGGGCAGTCCCCAACTTTCATACCATTCTTAAAAATGATTAAAAGTCAAAAGTTTGAAAGTTGATAGACTATTCCCAGAGAGTAAAGGATATAAAATCCCTCCATCATGCTCATGCAACCTGACAAAGTAAGAACATTCACCAATGCTGGCACCCTCCAACCACTCCCTGTACCATGTCCCTGTGCCATCAATTTACCAGGAAGCACAAGCTGTGGCTGGGGCCCAGACTGTAGTCTTTTGTCCTAGATCAAGCCTAGGCAGGTGTCTCCTTTTCCCATGGACCTCTTCCTTTCCTTGACCCTATGTAGGGGCTGTGGCAGACGGAGAGCTAGTCTTAAACCTCATTCCACTGTTGCACTGGGGTAGTTGGAACACAGTGGAGGCAAGGGATCCATCCTTATCACACCTGAGCTGAGTAGGACCTCTTCCCACTGTCCCTTCCAACAAGCACTTGGCCATTCTGCTGCCTGAAATGTAGTGCCCCTTGTAATTCCTCAGCCCCCAGAGGGAGCTGGTGAGATGAGGAAAGGAGGTGGCAAGGAACACTTTACACTAGAAGGAACACCTGCATGTTTGTGAGCAAGGTCCAGCTCCCACTTCCAGCCTTCTGCCTGGGCTCACAGATAACTCCACCTGCTATCACAGTTCCACCCCCATGCAGCAGAAACCCAGCACTTTTCCCCAGCCAAACGGGTGTTTAATGTATGAGAGTGCAGATTATATTAAAAATGAATTATGAAAGAAGGGGGCTGACTACATTGCATTAAAAAAAAAAAAAAATGTTTCAAGAAAAGTGGACGAAACTGCTCTCTACATTGCAGGATATCCTTTCCTGGCCATAAAGGATGAGGGCTGACTGTTTTGTCTTGTCTTTAAGAATTTAATAATTTAATTAGGGTGAGGAAGAAAATCAGTATCTTCAGAAACAAGGGACTAGTTTCCAGGTGATAGTGTGGTGAATAATTATTTAGCATTGTTCTGTTGCATATATGCACAGTAAGAAAAACCCCATTCTAAACACTGCTGACTAATAAAAGCCATCACTCCTATGTACTAGTAGTCCCCGATTTATCGCGTATTAAAGTTACGACAAAATGTACTTAATGACTGTCCTTTTTAATAATTTGTGTACTTTTTTATGTATGTATTATATATTAAAATATACATCTGTAAGTCTATATGTAATGTTTCCAACCTTCAAAGACAAATAAAGATCAGGTCTATAAAGATACTGATAAGTAAAAGGTAATAATAATGAAAACTTAAAAGAAAAAAGAGATATACACCTTATGTCAGAACCCGCGTTAGGACAGAACCCTGTTGTAAATCAGGGACTACCTGTACTGTGCTTTCCAGCTTAAGACTGAAAATTGGTTCTTAGTATGAGAAATAAGAAGGATTAGAACAGTGAATGTAGACTGACAAAGTTTCAAGGTAGTTTTTCACTTGCTGCCAGTACTTTTTTGGTAGGTGTGTTCTTAGTATTCCTGATGTAACAAAAAGCTTAACATGTAGACATTTTACTTAAAAATTCAAGAAGTTACAGGCTTATCCAGCATATCTATTCATAATGTTTATTTCCTCTAATAGTTTTCAGGTTGATCTCAAAATATTTAAATAAATCTTATTTCAACTTACTGTCTTTAATCTGCTATTTTTGGTTCTGCGGTTAGTGGTTTAAAAGGCGCTTCCGTATTCAGATATCAATGCTCAGGTACATGTGTGTTTTAATTAAATCCTGTTTAACTCTACAGGGGGAACACACCGGAAACTAGAGGAACAGCTTATGTGGTCTATGAAGACATCTTTGATGCCAAGAATGCATGTGATCACCTATCGGGATTCAATGTTTGTAACAGATACCTTGTGGTTTTGTATTATAACGCCAACAGGGTAAGTATAGCCAGGGTCCTTGTTGCATGGAGAGCCCATTTAAGAATTAGTGTAGAACTGCACCGTGATGGGAAATGCGTGTTGTGCATTTTTGTTCTTTTTTTTTTCCTGGCTAGTGCTATTGGTGAAATTCTTTTGGTCGTAGATCATTAACTGTTAACTTTGATGCTTACCATTCTCAGGCATTTCAGAAGATGGACACAAAGAAGAAGGAAGAACAGTTGAAGCTTCTGAAGGAGAAATATGGCATCAATACTGATCCACCAAAATAAACACTGTTTTCTGCATTTTCATTTTGGACTAAAACCCACGAATGACTACCAACACTTTTTTTTTTTTTTTTTTTGGTAATTAATACTAAATATTGTGATTTCGTATTTGAGACTCAAAATGACCTGCTTGAAACTTTGATACATGTTAGAATGTATTATGTTAATAAACATGTAGCTTTTTGTAAAACATGTCAGTGTTTACTCTTGAACTTTCCCCTCTTATTTGAAACCAGGGGCAACCATATCAAGAATTGTCCAGTAGTAGGTGTCCTAGAGACCCTGAGATTCTTGAGGGCAGGGACCTTTTTGTGTTCCCTTTGCCTTCGGTGTCCAGCCAGTGGCTGGTCATCAAAGGAACTTGTTAAAGTGTTACTATTTATTGAATGTCTGTTCATAATGAAATCTTCACAACTCTATGAAATAGGTAAGGTATCTCAATTTTGCAGATGAGGGAAACCAAAGCCCATCATGTTGGTTGAATGAATAAGATGCTTACATAAAACAGCTGCTGTGACAGCAACTAGTTATTAACTACATTTGTATAATACTTATTTTCCAGTTAACAGAACACCTTTGTGAATATGGGAACCCTCGTCCTTAGAATGGAGTTTCTGGGTGGTGCAAGTGGTGAACGCATTTGGCTGCTAACCAAATGGTTGGAGGTTCAGTTCCACCCAGAGACACCTGGTGAATCAGCTGTTGAAAACCGTTTGGAGCACAGTTCCACTCTGACACGCACAGGGTTGCTGTGAGTAGGAATCAGCTCGACAGCAACTAGTTTTATCCTTAGAACAGAGGTTCGTTCTAGAAACGGCCATTCAGATGACAGCGCATAGTTAGAAATTTGGGAGCAAGCTGTTCGGGTGGCTGTGTTGGTTAGTACATGTCTAAGATTGTGTTTATGTAGATTTTCCCTTCAGTTATTAAGCATCTGTTTATAGTTTGGACCTTAGCTCCTAGTATATCTTTGCCATAAAAGATGCTCACTCTTAATCATGCACTCCCATGGCATGGAAATAAGGTTATTACCACATTTCATCATAGCTGGTAGTTTGAGGAAGATAACTATACTTTTATCTTTATAGTTTAGGCATGGGCCAAATGGAAAAACTTGGACTAATTGTTTTGTATACATCTATAACCCAAAATCAATCTGAAGGGTACATGCACTGAATCATTTAAATGGAAAAGAGCACCTATTCTACTTTTAAATTCATTTAGCTTTGAAATCTATCATTACTTTAAGAAAATATAGGTTGTTTTATACTTTTTATACTGTCTTCTCAAAATCTATTATAAACAAAGAAATAATTGTTTTATTTACTGTATCTGACCTTTTTTTTTCCCCACTGTTGTGTTTTTAGTGAAGGTTTACACAGCAGTTTAGGACTCTGAGTTCTCTTTGAAAGCACTGTAAAGGAGCCCTGGTGGCGCAGTGGTTAAAGCGCTGGGCTGCTAACTGAAAGGTTGGTGGTTTGAAACCACCAGTGGCTCCGCAGGAGAAAGATGTGGTAGTCTGCTTCCGTAGAGGTTTACAGTCTTGGAAACCCTGTGGGGTCGCTATGAGTTGGAATCGACTCCATGGCAGTGGGTTTGGATTTTTCGGGTAAGAGAGTAGAAAGATTCATTCCTAGGAAAGATGGGCAGATGAGAAAGGGGCCATAGCTGTAATTTTTTCTTATGAATGCTTCTATGACTGCTAATTTTTCTAATGTGTGTCTTGGGTATTACAAATGTAAAAATTTTCTGAAAGACTTCGTAAGGGGAAAACAAATTAGACTTGCTTATATTGTGATAGGTCTAAGCAGCAGCCTGGTTTGCCTGTAATATAGTTTTTTTAAATTCATAACTAGGGGAGATTCTTTCTACTGACAGTTACGGCTGATCTATCATTTGGATTAATGTGTCAGCTGAATTTTATGACCGAAAGTTAAGTGTCTAAACAGTTCCCTCTAATTGTTTGGAAGTTCTGTAGCCTGTCACATTTTAAGTTACAAGAACTTTCATTCAGTAGGTGAATACTGGGCACCTACTCTGTGCTAGGCACTGTGCTAAGATGCCTGAGTATACTGTTATGATTGCTCCTCTGCATCAGGCCTCTAAGACTCAGTTTATCAACCTGCTTTTAAGAGTGCAACAGATGAGTGTGTATGTATGTATATGCATACATATGGATGCCAGAGCCGCTTTGCTTTCATCACGGTTAAATTTTGGTCTTCTAAGAAAGATATTGAATGAATACAGAATTCATTAAAAGTTTGAAAACTACAGATATAACACATCTCTCATTATCAATCTTCTGCATAACAACATTCCATGGCTCTTAAAGGACAGTGTCCAAACCCTTAGCATATCACATCATCATTTTCTGTTACCTTTTAAGAGCACCTAAAGCAGAGTCATATTCCAGTTTACCTGCAAAGCCCAGCACATCCTCTGAAGGTGATAGCTAGTAAGTATTTGTATTTTGAGGGGTTCTCTTAGTATCTCCTTTTACCACCTAGGCTATAAATACTCTAGACCAAAATCTTTTATATGACTCCACAGTGGGCACCTGAAATGGTCCTTGGTGCCATTTTTAGTTATCCCATTGGCATCAAAGCAGAAAACACTAATAAGGACATCTTTTATACACAGCAAATTCTGAGAAATTATGATAGGCATTTGGGTCATCAAGGAAAACTGGGAACCAGGACATTCTGGATGAAGCACTCCAGAGAGGAATGAGTGCAGCACCTTCCTCTGGCTGGTCTGGTCCCACAGCAGAGGTGAACTGAGGGACTCTGGGTGATTAAAAGTAAAGCAGCTCCTTTCTTACTCCATTTTCTCCATCCTAAAGCACTGCCTCTTCATTAACTACTCAACCCCTCAGCAGAGTTGGCTAGGGCTTCTCAGAGATGAAAGGAGTAGATGAAGTAGCCAAAATGACATGGCCCCGTATCACATACATGACATCATGTGATGTGTCAATGGGTTGGTGAAGGAGAACTAAGTACTGTTACCAGCCCCCTTCCTCCTCAATCCTGAAACAATTCCACGTCATCACTGACAGAGTAATGCTGAATATGGTCAAGAGCTTTTCTCACCCTATGCCGGTTAAAAATTTCATTCACAGGGCCCTACACACAACCCACCCAATAAGTGGACTGATTTTAAAACCTAACTATGGATTCCAGTGAGCTAAAGTGAATGTAGATGAAAATAAGCAGTATACGTGAAAACAAGTTTAGAATCATACATTCTTCTCAGAAGTAACTTCTCAACGTACGTTAGAGCAAATCTAGATGAAACTAAGCAGTACATGTGAAACAGACTCAGGATCACATTCTTTTCCAAAGTAACTTCCCAGTGTGAGTTAGCATATGGCTCCAAGCCCATACCACCTTCCATTTCTTCAGATACACAAAATGTGCTGTTGCCACTGGGATGGGAGTTAATCCCTCTTGCTCCAAGTCCAGACAAATGGAGACTGTGTTCACGAAAGTGCTGCAGGATTTGAACACAACATGTTCCTTTAATTCTGCAGAGCAGACTCCTGAGCCTTTAAGATGAGTGGAGGTAATACCTACCTTGTAGGGTTGCTTTGAGGATTGGTGATGATTTATTTAAAAGTATATAGAACAAGGCCCAGCATGTGGAGTGCTCACACTGTAGCTGTTACATTCATAATCACTCTCCTAGAGATGCGGACACTTCTTTTCCCCCTTTGTTCCCACGGGCAACTGGCTTGTGTGGTCCTGAAAGCAGTTCCCGTTTATAACAAGGATGGACAGGAATTTGTCAAGCACATAGCCTTTATTTGACATACTATTTCCAGATAGGACATTTGTTTAAGTTAGCAGCAAACAGAACTTACAAGTGACAACAAAGGTAACTGGCTCAAGTCCCTCTGTGTACACCGTGTACATTTCATGTCTGAGCACCTTGTGTATCTTGGTTAAGTGAAGGTAAGGCAGTGTAGATTGTGCAAACAAGAAATTGGTGTTCTCTGATCAAGAATGGCTACTACATGCATCACACGAAATGCACAACCTGTTTCAACCCGCAGCTGAAGTTTCCTCAAGCAAAGATGCGCGTGAACAATGACAAACACATAGACAGCAACGTGGGCAGAGAGCATGGATAATGCCATGGGGCAGTGAGGTCAGCACACTGATCAAGAGCCCCAAATGGAGGAGCCGTCCCAGTGGCAGAGGAGGCTAGGAGGGTGAGCAGCAGCCATCTCCAGCCACCTCAAGTTCCTTCCTGCCTTCACTCTAAGTTGAGCAGCTCCACGTCAAAGATGAGGGTGGCATTGGGAGGGATGACACCAGGGTGGCCCGTGGCTCCATATGCCACATCAGGGGTGCAGGTCAGCTTCGCCCTCTGCCCCAAGCTCATCTAGCAGGGATGGGGGCAGATGGGGAGAGGAGAAAGAGGACCCAGCTTGATTTAAAAGAAAAAAGTAAGGTAACTATGGCATTTTCCCAAACCATCCTCATGGTAACTCTGCAGGTCTGAGATTAATTTTATAGGTGGCTTATTGAAGCTGCTAAGATCTGTAACAAATGCACAGATTCTGCCTCAAAATAACAGAGACTTGACTATGGGACAATAACTTCCATAAAGCAGTCTCAAAATTCATTTATCCAACAAACTACTGGTTATGCAATTAGCGTAAGGCCCAACCATTTCTATTTGTTCATGACTGTTCCTCACCCTCTTCCAAAGAAGCTTGAAGAGGGTGCACAAGAGCACATGTACACACCCAAGTAGGTGAGAGGCACAGTTCATCAAAGAGGTTAGAGGTCAGAGGCCACAGCAAGGTGGGAGGGTTAAGAGGCCTACTCAAATGGTGCACCATATGACTTCATAGGACAGACCAAGAAAGAAGAACTTGAATCAGGGCTCATCACAGCAGTAGTCAAGAACCCACTTGGCATTAGTGGGACAAATGGTAGAATTTGAATAAGGTCTGTAGTTAATAGTATTGTGTCAATATTGATTTCCTGGTTTTGATCACTGTACTACAGCTGTGTAAGATGTTAACACTTTGGGAAGCTGGGTAAAGATCTCTACTATTTTTGTAATATTTTTACAAGTCTGAAATTGTTTCAAAATAAGAAGTTTAAAAAAAAAACTTCCTTGGCCTACCCTATCCCAGCTCTTCTGCTGTCTCAGTCCTGGTAGCTCACAGGCCTCCTGAGCTAGTTCCAAGCAAGCCTGGGGGATATGCTTGGGATGACAGCCTGTAGTGACACAAAAGAGGGCATGCTGGCAATGAAAGTAGTGGGGACACAAAGCCAGGACTGTTCACTAGATGGTGTTGCCATGCCCCGGTGGTTGTGGTCTGTAATAGGGTGAAGGGTGAAAGGCAGAGTCCTGAGCCCAGATCCCTAACTCCTTAGATCCCCTTTAAGGAGAATCCTCCTCCTACCTGGGCTGCGCCCTCTTCAAAACCCTTGATGACTTCCTGTTTGCCAATTCTGAACTTGAAAGGTTTGTTTCTGTCTCTGGATGAATCAAATTTCTTCCCATTTTGGAGCATTCCTGCCAAAGCAATAGGGTGGAAAAGAGTTGTGGTCATGGGTTAACTCCCAATTCAGGTTCAACATGTCTAAAATGGAATTCCTATTCTGCATAAACTGCTCCGCTTCCAGTCCTCCCCACGGGTGCTGTTGCCCAAGGAAGCAACCTGGACCCTGTCCTGAACTCTTCCTGCTGCCTTACCCCCACATTCAACTTGTCACCAAGTCCTATGTATCTTTCGAATCCACCTATTTTCCCCATTTCTATTACCACCACCCTGTGGTCTCATCAAGTCACTATCACGCCTCACTTGTTTACAGCAACAATCTCTGCTGGATTATTTAAAAACACAAATCTGATTGTATTATCCCCCTGCTTAAAGCAGTCCAGTAGCTGTCTGCGGCAGAATCCAAATGCCAACACTGCATAGAGGGACTTCAAGGTCTGGCTGTCACCTGCCTGATAGCCCTCTCTCTGCTTTCCCCTTCCTCGCCTTTCTCTATATCCTGTTCACATCACACATTTCTCAAATGCCTCTGTACTTTAGGGGTTTTTTTGTGCCACTTCCTCAGCCTGAAGGTGGCGTCCTCATCTGATTTCCCTGAGGTTTCTCTAACATACCGGAACCCAAGGTCACATCATCCCCTGCTGCAGTGAGCCAGGTGACCCAGCTGGTCGGGGTGGTCTCCAGACCCCACACAAACAGTGCTGTTTGGAGCTGGAACACTCCAGGTGCTGCCTCCAGCAGCTCAGAGCTTCTCCCAGCCTTGTCATCCCTGAGGTACACATGTTGCCTCAGTCCAGCAGCCCAAGGCCCAAGAGCTGCTTTTCTATTTTCAATTCTTATTAGTGACGCTGACCCAAAGATCAGTCCTTCTGTAAATGATGCTATTCTGCAACTTCTTGGAGCCCCTGGTTCACACAGAAGGCAATCTGGAACCAGAGAAAGACCTGGCATGTAAGTCCAGAGACTGGTTCTGACTTCACCCTGGCACGAACTCCCTATGTGACCTTATGCAAGTCATTTCCTCTCTCAAGGCCTCAGATTTACCATGTTTAAAATGGGAACAGAGCCAGCTTAGGGTCTGAGCATCTATGATTCCATTCCTAATTCCTACAACTTAAATGTGTACAAGAAAAATAGTCTTATTTACCTACTTTCTGGATAGAATAAATTGGGCTCTTGCCCTGGGTACTAAATCAAGCAAAGGAGAAAACCCTGCTGGCTATACAGAGATTCACACAGATGGATGCTAAGGAGATAAATATGAACTCATACATACACACAGGCTGCTAAGATATTTAAATATACAGACATAATTATGCATGCTCACATGCCCTTATGCACATACACTTAGAAGAAGAAACCTGATGGCCAAACAGATACTAAGACAATATTTAGATGCACAGACCTACATACACACACATAGACACACACTTTGACAAATATGCACATGGAGGTGCCTTGCTTGCACTCACACATTCACACACTCCATTTAAAGATGGACTTTCTCATTCCCTAATTCCTTCATGTTTCATTTGACTTCATTTATTTCAGGCCTCACACAGTTATTGACTGCTACAAGCTCAGCCAGAACTCCATGCAGTCCAAAAACAGAAGTATATAAATATGATTACCTGATTTGACAGTCGTGCCATTGCAGTGCAGTACATAAAGAATGTTTGTTTTTTGTTTTATTAGTGTTGCTGGATCGATTGTAATCCATAGGAGGAAAAAAAATGAACCCTGACCCCTACCTCACCCATGCACAGAAATCAATTCCATATGAATCACAGACCCAAATATGAAAGACAATAAAGTTTCTACAAGATAATAAATAGAAGAATATCTTCATGACCTAGGGATAGACAGATTTCTTGAGCAAGATACAAAAAGTACTAACCATAAAGGAAAAGATGAATAAATTGGACTTAATTAAAATTAAGAACTTCTGTTCAAAAGATACCACTAAGAGAATAAAAAGACAAGCCATGGCGTGGGAGATGTTTGGAATAGATATAATCAGCAAAAGACTTCATACAAAATCTATGAAGAACTCTTTTAAATCAATATGAAACAGACAACCTAACTTTTTTAAATGGGCAAAATTTGAACAGACAAAAAGGATATTTGGATGGCCAGTAAGCACATGAAAAGGTGCTCATCTTCATTTGTTATCAGGGAAATGCAAATCAAAACCACAATGAGATAACCACTGGGCACCCACCAGAGCAGGCCAAAAACAAGCCCAAAAACCTGACAATACCAAAGTGTTGGTGAGCAAGAAGAGTAACTGGAACTCTCATACTCTTCTGGTGGAAGTATAAATCGGCACAACTACTCTGGAAAGTTGTTTGGCAGTATCTGCTAAAGCTGTGCATACCCTGCATATACCCTGCAATTCCACTTCTGAGTACAGACGCAACAGAAACATGTACATATATGTACCAAAAAACATCTACAAGACTGTTCAAAGCAACACTACTTGTAATAACCAAAACCTATAAACAACTGAAATGTTCATCACCAGTAGGAAGAATGAATCAATTGTAGTATATTCATGCAATGAAATACTGCACAGGAATAAAAAAGAATAAACTACTATGGGTGAATATCACAGACAATGTTGAGTGAAATAAGCCAACACAAAAGACAATAGTCAAGAGTACATACTGTGTAATTCCATTTCTAAAAAGTTCAAAAACAGGCAAAACTAATCTATGGGAACAAAAGTCAGAATAATAGCTGCCTTTAGAGATGTAACGACCAGGAGGAGGCACGAGGGAGACTTGGGGGTGCTGATAATGCTTTCTTTATATGTTGGTCTGGGTGGTGGTTAGAGTCCCTGGGTGGTGCAAAGGGCTGCTATGCAAAAAATGGGAGGTTCGACTCCACCCAGAGTTATCTTGGAAGAAAGGCCTGGCGATCTACTTCCAAAAACTCCACAGAGCACACTTCTACCCTGACATACATAAGGTCGCCATGAGTTGGAATTGACTTGATGGCAACTGGTGGTGGTGGTAGTGGTTACCTAAGTGTGGTCATTTTGAAAAAAATACACTGAGCTGTACATCTTAGATTTATGTTCTCCACTGTATGTATTTAAAGTCCCATACAGTCTCCTGCTCTGTTTGATGAGACAAGTCCCTTCCCAAACCGGAGCTGCTCACAGCGGACATGAGTGTTTAATGCACATTGCCTGTTCTTTGTGTGTATTGTGAAAAGTCTTTGCAAAGGGATGTGGTTTCAGTAACTTGATAAGTACTGGTCTGTCTGCAATGTATAGAACAGATACATCAATTACACGGGTCAGAGGCCCCAGAGGACTCAAGGTAATTAGGCCACATCACCGGGAGATAAAACGCAGCTCCAGCCCACTGACGTCAGCGACTGGCAACACAGCTGTTGAAAAACATCCACACCGTCTGCCTAGAATTAACCTGGTGCTTCACACTAGCCCAGAGAACTGCTAAAGATGGCCCCATCCGATTATGTCCTAGAAATTAAACTGGCCTTGCTGTCTGCTAAATGGCTGTCGCTGAGTTTGCCACATTAGGAAGAAGGTCACAAGGCAGAACACTCACCCTCCCCTTTGGAACAAACACCTGCTTGTGATCTTCCTGCCGGCAGTTCTGAGGAACTTCATTGAGAATGTCCCTCAGCCCACCTGTATTCAGATACAGATCATCCATGAAGGTCAGCAGAGATGTGAGGCTCTCCTCCGGGCCCCCACAGCGCCCTGTGACAGACACTGTCGTCACCCTCACCCCTCACACTGCATCTGAGCCTCTAGTTGACTTATATGCCCCTACCCTACCCCCGTCCCACCTCAGCCTAGCGAAGGCAGGGATCCTTCTTTTCATCTTGTGCCCCCCAGTGTCCAGCACAGTATCTCACACACAGTAGGTGCTCAATTACAGTAGTCCCTGACTCATGATGTATTTGCATTATGACAAACCACACTTAACAACCGTCTGGTTTTGTTTTTTTTGGTACATCTTATTGTTAGTAATATGTACTACGTATAATTCTGTAGCTCATAATTTGCTGATGTTATTCTGAGATGTTCGCTCACAGATGTTCAGTGTTATGATTTATAAAGATACTGGTAATAAAAAGCAATAATAATGGAAACTAAAAAAAATGAGGTATTTGGCTTATGTCAGAACTGACATACAACAGAGCTGTTGGAACGGGACCCCATCATAAGTCGGGGACTACTTGTAGTAAATTTCTGTAAAGAGTAAGGAAATTCTGAGGAAGCCAACCTCCTCTTCTCTAACAATGCTGCAGGCTGAAAAGGGAGTCTGCCTGGGATGGTCAGGGCTCCCAGAGCTTTAAGAGGACCTTCCAAGCATCAGACAGAACCAACAGGGCCCGAGCTCCACCTTGGCACTACGGAGGGCCTTGTTGGTATAAGTGGGGAGCAGTAGACCTTGCAAGCCCTCCTTCTCATTCCCACTAGGCTGGCTGGGAGGAGTAGGGGATATCTGGTCAGAGGGAGTGGGCTGCCTTGGGCTATAGGCTTGATCCAGGGGGGCAGACACCTCTGGAGGGGGTATCAGAGAAGAGACCTGCCTAGGGAGGGGCAGGTCTGGATGAGAGTAGGAAGAGAGGCCTACCTGTGTAGTGCACCACACACGTCTGGCCCTTCTTGGGGAACGTCCTTCCTGCAGGGAGATAGAGGGCAGATGAAGAATAAAATAACAGAAAACTCATCTGGGACATTCAGGTGTGATTGTGGCCAACAGCACAAGGCCCACCTCCTCGTCTACAACCTGGGTCCCAGCACTCCACACCACAGAGGTAGCCTTGGCCCTAGTTCTGGCTTCATGCCTTGTGTGAGCCAGAACTTGTCACTTTGCCTCCCTGGCCTTGATTTGAATGTTCTTCCCTCAGTTTCCTCAACTCCACTCTCTCCTGGTTCTCTGATTGCTCCTTTTACTTTCCTTCACCCATTTCACCAAGACTTACTGAGTATCAACTGTGTGCCAGGCCTGGGCCTCATTCTGGGGAGACAGCAGTGAACAATACAGACAAGTTCCCTGCTCTTTTGAAGTTTACATTCTAACAGAGGGAAACAAAACTCAGATAAACAAGATACTTAAAGATTGTGATAAAAGCTCTGCAGGGGTAAAAAAAAAAAAAAAGATGAATTAAAGAGAGATATACCCTGACAGCCCATTTTAGAAAGGATGGTCTCTCAGAGAAGGTGAACTTTGAGCTCAGCCTTGAAGGATGAGAAAATGCTGGGAAAGAGCACTCTGGGAAGAGGGAGCAACAAGTGCACGACCCTTGCAGCAGGGACAGATGAGTGTGCTTGCAGAATAGAAAGGAGGCCAGGTGACTGGAAAGAAGTGAGTGAGAAGGGGAGAGATGGGAAAACCCAGATCAGGCAGAGCTGGATTTAATTCTAACTGCAATGGGAAGCCACTGGAAGGTTTTACGCAAGAGAATGACATAATTGGAATTAAGATTTTATAGATCACTCTGGCTGCTGTGTATAGGATGGATGGTTAGGCGTCTGTTGCAATCATCCAGACAAGAAATCAATGATGGCTTGAATTAAGGTGGTGGCAGCAGAGGAGAGAGCAAAACAGATTGGAGATGTATTTTGGAAGCACAGCTGACAAGGCATGCTAATGGATTGGATATGGTGTCCAGGATGAGGGAAAAGAAGTAAACAAGAGCTATGCCTAGGTTTTCAGTTTGGCAACTGGACAGCTAATGGACCTATTTCCTGAGATGGGGAAGACTGGGGAGGAAGAGATTTGTGCGGGCAGCAAGCAAGTGCCGTGTTTTGGATATGCTAAGCTTGAGACATCTATTAGACATCAAGTTTATACTGCAAGTAGGCAAATGGAGAGTCTGCACTGGAGATATAAGTTTGGGTGGAACTTAAAGCCATGGGGCTGGATAACAAAGTCAGCTGCTATTAGCTGCCATTAGGTCTGCCCCCAACTCATGGTGACACCGTGCACAATGGAACAAAATGTTGCCCAGTCCTGTGCCACCCCAATGACTGGTTGTGGATCCGATTGTTGTGATCCATAGGATTTTCATTGGTTGATGTTCAGTAAATTGCCAGGCCTTTCTTCCTAGTTCATCTCAGTCTGGAAGCTCTGCTGAAACATGTTCAGCATCATAGCAACACACAATCCTTCACTGACAGATGAGTGATGGCTATGCATGAGGTATACTGGCCAGGAACTGAACCCAGGTCTCCCACATGGAAGGTGAGAATTCTAACCTCACAGCAAAGCTTAGGGAGAGCTAATAACTGAGCCAACATTTAGAGGACTCTGTAACAAATTACGGATAACATTGCAAAGAATGGGAATTCCAGAACACTTAATTGTGCTCATGAGGAGCCTGTACATAGACCAAGAGGCAGTCGTTCAAACAGAACAAGGGGATACTTCATGGTTTAAAGTCAGGAAAGGTGTGCATCAGGGTTGTATCCTTTCACCATACTTATTCAATCTGTATGCTGAAAAAATAATCTGAGAAGCTGGACTATATGAAGAAGAACGGAGCATAAGGATTGGAGGAAGACTCATTAACAATCTGTAATATGCAGATGACACAACCCTGCTTGCTGAAAGTGGACTTGAAGCACTTACTGATGAAGATCAAAGACTACAGCCTTTAGTATAGATTACACCTCAACATAAACCATAATCCTCAGAACTAGACCAATAAGCAACATTATGATAAACGGAGAAAATATTGATGTTGTCAAGGACTTTATTTTACTTGTATCCACAATCAATGCCCACGGAAGCAGCAGTCAAGAAATCAGACAATGCATTGCATTGGGCAAATCTGCTGCAAAAGACCTCTTTAAAGTGGATGTCACTTTGAAGACTAAGGTACGCCTGACCCAAGCCATGGTATTTTCAATCACCTCATGTGCATGCAAAAGCTGGAATAAGGAAGACCGAAGAAGAATTAACGCCTTTGAATTACGGTGTTGGCAAAGAATATCGAATTATAACATGGACTACCAGAAGAACAAACAAATCTGTCTTGGAAGAAGTACAGCCAGAATGCTTCTTAGAAGCAAGAATGGTGAGACTCAATCTCACCTACTTTGGACATGTTATCAGGAGGGACCAATCCCTGGAGAAGGACATCATGCTTGGTAAAGTGGAGAGTCAGCTGAAAAGAAGAAGATCCTCAATGAGATGGATTGACACCATGGCTGCAACAATGGGCTCAAGCACAGCAAAGATTGTGAGGACGGCACAGGACTGGGCAGTGTTCTGCTCTGTTGTACGTAGGGTCACTATGAGTCAGAACTGACTTGAAGGCACCTAACAACAACAATATAGGGTCGCTATGAGTCAGAATTGACTGGATGGCAACGGGTTTGGTTTGGGTTTATGGGAGCATGGGGGAGATAGAAACAAACTGACTGGGGGAGTCAGAGAAAGCATCATAGAGGAGACAATGAGTCTTAGAAGATGAGTGGGAATTTGCCAGAGGAAGAAATGGGAGGTAACCTGGGAAGAGGGAATGGCATTGAACAAAAGTTAGAGTCAAGCAATAGCAGGATCACTGTCCTTTTCACTGCTGTAACCCTAGGCCTAGCACAGAGTAAATGTTTAAAAAATATTTGCTGAATGAATGGTGTCTTTAAAAACAACTTGCAGGCAGCTAGGTAAAGATGAAGCTAAAGCTAGTAGTGGGGGGTAGGGGCAAGTAGTAAAAGATGAGGCTCTGGTGTAGAAGGTAGGAATAGGCCATATCACTGAGGACCTGTTATGGATTGAATTGTGTCCCCAAAAAATAAGTGTTGTAAAACCTAACTTCTATGTCTATGGTTTTGGAGCCCTGGTGGTGCACTAGTTCAGAGCTATGGCTGCTAACCAAACGGTCAGCAGATCGAATCCACCAGGGAGCCACTCCTTGGAAACCCTATGGGGCAGTTCTACTGTGTCCTATAGGGTCACTATGAGTTGGAATCGACTCCTGGCAAAGGGCTTAGGGTTTTCTTTTTTCTTTTTGTAATGCCTGTGGTTATAATTCCATTTGGGAATGGGTTATCTTTGTTATGTTAATGAGACTGGATTAGTGTAGGGTGTGTCTTAAATCAATCTCTTTTGAGATAGAAAAGAGATTAAACAAGTAAGCGAAAGAAGCAGAGATGGGTGAAGAGAGATGCCAAGCCATGTGAAGGTTGCCCAGGAGTAGAAGATAGAAGAGACAAGGACCTTCCTCCATAGTCGACAGAGAGAGAGCCTTCCTCTAGAGCCGGCACCTTGAATTTGGACTTCTAGCCTCCTAAACTATGAGAAAATAAATTTCTGTTTGTTAAAGCCACCCGTTTGCAGTATTTCTGTTATAGCACTAGATAACTAAGGGTCCAATATACCTGGAGACTGGAAGAATCATTAAAACATTTGATGCCTGGGGGGAGAGGAATGGTCAGCTATGCATTTTAAAAGACTTTGGGCTGTGGTATAGAAAATTAATGGAGTGGGGTGGGGAGGCCAGACTGAAGGGAGGGAAGGGGAGGGGACACTGAAGGGGGTAGGTGAGACTGAAGGGAAGAGAGGGGAGACTGAAGGGAGGGGAGGGGTGACAGAAGAGAAGGGGGTGAGAATGAAGGAGGGAGGTGAGGCTGAAGTGAAATGAGGTAAAACTCAAGAGTGGAGGTGAAGCTAAAGGCTGGAAGTGAGACTGAACGGGGGAGGTAAGGCTGAAGAGGTGAAGTGAGACTGAAGAGGGGAGGTGAGACTGAAGGGCCAGGTGAGGTTGAAGGAGGGGAGATGAGGCTGAAAGCAGTGAGATGAGTTTAGAAGCTTTGCAGAAATCCAAGTAAGAGAGATGATGGTGGCCTGAACTAGGGCAGGGCCTGGGGGTATGGATTCTAGCAATACTAAGTAGGAAGACTTGACAGGACTTGGTGAGGGTCCTGACCAAAGACAAGTGTCCCCAGTACGGCAGCATTCTTGCTGAAACATTAACTTGTAGTTTCCCCTCCTGGCTCTTTTGTACTTCCTGACTCAGAGGTTTACAGAGGGCTGACAGCAGAAAGCCAAAACTCCTCCAGGCTTTCCCTAAATGTCTAATCCCCCTCAAGAAAAAATGCTCCGAGTCCCTGGCCAAGGAGGGATGATAAGGAGAGAAAGTTCTAAAAGCAGAGGCTCCTATGAGCCAGGGAAGGGAGAAGAGGCCTCCAATCCCATCCAAGAACTCCATGGCAGTGCCCTGAGGGAGGAAGTCTTGTAACGAGGCCTCAGGGAGATGCTTCCTGGGGCCCAGGCAACAAGGTCCCCATCATGAGCAAAGAAGCGTGTACCCCACGGGTGACCCGAGGTATCATCTGGGACTTCTAGCGACCACTGTTTTTGAACAAGGAAGGCAGCCTGGAATCAAGAGGCCCTCCAATTTCATGGGTGGAGGGCTCAATAATGTGTGGTGTCAAATTTGCCTGTCAAACCCTGCAGAATGGCTGCTTTGGTCTGAATGGAATTAAATTGTATTTAGAAATAAAGAAACAGCTATTTCCTGCACACCCAAACCAAATTATTCAAGGATGTCACCTGGGGTGTCTGGCTTGGGAAAGACAAGGAACAGGGAACACAGAAAGAGGCGCGCTTAGGGATGGGGTTGGGGAGTGAGCATTAAGTTCTGCTTTGGACTTGCTGACTTTGAGGTATCCCGTGGGGCATCTACGTATAGGTCGAGCAGCAGCCGGATATATGGATCACTGTGAACTCAGGTGGGAGGTCTGGACGGGAGGCTTAGATGTGGAAGCCATCGGTTGCCAGACGATAATGAAAGCCATGGGAGTGGACAAGATCTCCGGAGACGGTGAGTGGGGCAGGGAGGATAAAGGGAGCTACATAGGTGGAGGCGGGAGTGCTTCTCCCTTCCCAGACTGGTTCTGTCCCCACAGGCTTCAACTGCCCAGCCCGCAGTGGCCCTTCCGACAGGAGGCCCTGCGAGGGGTGCGTTAGAAGCGGGGAGCAGAAAAGACCCCAAAGCAGGTCCTTTCCCTGGTTTCCAGAGGGCACCTAGCAGGGCAAGGAAAGCGAGGATAAAACCTAGCCCTGGAAAATGAGCAGCAGCGGATAACCGAGTGGTTCCCTCGGCTGCAGCCAGAGGCCCCTGGGGCGGTCGCGCGGCGCAGACCCCAGCCTCTGGACCGCCACCTTCATTCCCCCAGGTGAACCGGCGAGGAAGGGGATGGTGGAGGATCGTCTTTTAGACCCCTAGGAATACCGACCGGGGTCTCCTCCCGCCGCTCCTCGTCCTAGGCCCATCCCCCCACCGGCACCCTCCGCGCTACCTCCGAGTCAGACCCCTGCCCCCCCGGCTCCGCCCTAGGACCCCTCCCCCTCCCCCGGTTCCACCGCCCAGTACCGTCTCCTGGGGAGATGGTCTCGATCTCCACGCCCATCCTGGTCCCACAGGCCCCGCCTCCGGGGGGGTCCCCGCTGCTGCCCCAACCCCGGCTCGGTAATGGCCCCGGCCCCGCTGAGTCTCCGGCTCTCCTCCCCGCCGCCACTGCAGAGCCGGAGGAGGTGCGGCTGGAGTCGGGACCCGCGCGGGGAGGGGCCACGGGAAAGCGGGCGGCGGGGCGGAGCCGCGCGGAAAGGTGGGGTCCGCCGGGGAGGGGCCCCGGGGAAGGGACCCTGACGTGGCTGCTCTGGAGCCTGGCCTGGCTAAGGCTGTTCAACCCACTGAGTGAGGAGGGTGGGAAGGGACGCACGCAAGCACCCTCGATGCACCCACACATCCATCTATGCTTTCAATACACATTTATTTAGCACTACTCTATGCTAAGCTCTGGGGAGTCAACTCGGTCCCACAGACTAGGGGAAGAAGGCAAGCAATTAAACTAATATTTTAATTAGATGTGTTCACTGTCCTGGAGTTCAGAATGTTATGGAAGCGCCAGAGAGGTACCTTCTCTGAGGGTGGGAGTGGGGGTTAAGGGAGGCTTCCCGCGTCTATAGAGCGGTGGATAGGGGAGGGGACACGGCCCTCCTAAACGCCCCTAAACCCCTATTCGCCATTCTGTGTAGTTCAGCTCCACACACATTTATTGGGTTTCCACTTTTCCAGGCAAAGTGCTGCGCTCTGGGAATACTAATTAAGACAGGATCGCTGTCCTTGAACAGCTTAGTGTGTAACCAGACAGTTACAGCGCAGAGTGATTAGTGCTGTGGAGTGAATGAATGAATGAATTCAATCAATCTTGAGCTCCTCCTCCACGGCAGACCCTTCACCTTCACCCAAAAGAGATCAAGGAATCTGGAAAGATGTTTTTGAAGGAGGTAACAGTTGCCTGAAGTATGACTGGAACTTTTAAAACTTTTTTCCCCCCTCATTATTTCCTGCATTGTTCTAAAAATGGATGTGAAAGTATGATTCTGACAGGTGGCGCTGGAAGGTCGGCATAAGGAGAAAAGCCTGAGCAAAGGTGTCCAGAGTGGGCCCTGGAGGTGTTCTTCCCCCATTTTTCCTTCACTCTCCCCCCTCCCCCCACGCTCGCAGGTGGTTAGGTAATCAGCTTTACTGAAGGAGGACTGGCTGTGTTGTTCCAAGCGCAAGAAAGACGATGGTCAACTGTACTGTGGGGATCAGGAACTGAAATTCCCTATGGGCTGCTCCAAGACGTGGCTTAGGAGTGTAGCTGGTCTAAGAAGCCTAGTGACGCGGTACGGGCTGTCACATGTAGGGTAGGTGTAGAACTGAGATTTGTAACTGATCCTTTCAAATGAAGCGGCTTCAGTCGAAGACCGCTGTTTTGTGTATGGATAAGAACATTTTTCCGGGGAGATTTTATCAGATTTTAAAGTAGTCCCCGACTCCCCTACCTTAAAAAAAAAAAAAAAAGGCTTAAGAAACTGTGGTGTCGACCCTAGGCTCCTGGACTCCTTCTTGGTCTAAGAGAACCGATGAGTAGCGGGGAAAAGGGCTAAGGGAAGGCGAAGTTGTTTGTGGCTGGTTTACGGTCCTTGGAGTTTCATGGAGACTATAACTCCCAGAGATCCGTGCGACAAAGCCTGAGCTTATTGGCCAGTGGGAAGCTTCTCCAAACGTGACACATGCAAAAGCCAATAGGTAGGGGGCATTGCTGAACTTGACCGGCCACCGCTCACATTTCAGAGCACTGGGGGCCGATATTTCCGGTACCTGCTCGGGGCTTCGGAACCGAGGTGTCGTGAGGTGGGGCGGCCTCGGGGAGAGTGATTTTCTGTAGAGCAGTGAAACCAAAGGTATTTTTGTCTCCACTGCTGCCTGTCCTGGCTGATGTGGGGAGGCTGCGGGTGGGCTGGGAGAGAGGTGGAGAAGGCGTGGGGAGGACCCAGGTGTGCGCAGAGGATGGGCTGAAGGAAGGGGTCTGTGTTGGGAGGGGCGGGAGGATGAGGCCAGAGCTGAGGGTGGTTTTAAACGAGTGAGTGTATTTCCTTGGAAACCCTGGTGGCGTAGTGGTTAAAGTGCTACAGCTACTAACCATAAAGGTCGGTAGTTTAAATCCAACAGGCGCTACCTGGAAACTTTATGGGGCAGTTCTACCCTGCCCTATAGGGTCGCTATGAGTCGGAATCGACTCGACGGCAAGGGGTTTTTATTTCTCCTGTGACTCAGGAATGTTACTTTTGGGAGTATATCCGAAAGAAGTCATCTAAAATAAAGAGCACACTTTATGCACAAAGACCTTTATCAAAGTGTAATTTATAATAGAATAAAGTGGGCGACAACCTGGGTGTTTCAACAGTGATTAGTTCAGTAAATTGTGTAACTTCACTGAGTGAATATTAAGTGACCTCAAAACGTAATTTGCAAAACTTTTAAATAACATGAGGAAGTGCTAATATATAATGTTAAGTGAAAAAATGTACGATATGTTTGAAAAATTTAACAACCAAAACCTATACAGAGAAAAAAGTCTGAAAGGATGTAGTCATAATATTCTTTGGATGAATGGATTTTTGTGACTTTCTCTTTTTACTTTTTTAACCCCCTGCCCCAAATTAAGTGTAAAGAACTTGAAATTATCTTTAAGTTGAAACATAATAAATTTAGAAACTTAGAAAAACAAGTAAGTTTATGTACCTCTGTTTAAACTTACTGGAAATGCTCTAAATTCACCTAAGCTCCTTGATTTTCACCATGAGGTGTCTTTAAAGAAGATTACAAACAAGAATTAAGTGGTTATATATTGAGCAGCAGATCCTGGTTCTGACCACCTCTTCCTCTGGTCTTTTCTCTCTCTAAAACACCCTAACTACAGGGTGGAAGTCATGGGCTAGGCTTTGTGGGGAATCAAAGATAAATAAGACAGGGCTCCTGATTTCAGAAAGCTTAGAGTCTGGCTAGGGGTTGAGAGACCAACAGGTACATAGCTTCAAGAAAATGTAAGATTTTTAAAAGATAGAGAATAATAGGAAGACTCTTGTTTCAACCTTGGTCCTCTTGGCCTTCTGATCTTTTCACCAACCCTATGCCAAAAAAAAAAAAAAAAAAAACAAGACTGCCATGTGGTAATAAGACTGCCATGTGGTAATGGATTTGACTGCCTTGCAACTACTGTTTAAAAACCCTATGCCAAAAAAAAAAAAAAAAAAATCAAAGCTGCTGCCCTGATTCAATTCTGACACATAGTGACAGTTAGCAGTCGAGAGCTTTAACCACTGCACCACCAGGGCTTCTTAACCCTATACCAGTGACTCCCAAATCCTTACCTCTAACTGCCTAAGATACTTGCTACCTCATAGACTTCTTATATGAAGCACATCTAATGCTAAACTAATCACACACAGCCATCTAACCTTGGAAGCATGTTCTGCCTTTACCTCTGCTTAATGGTTCAATAGTTTCCCAAGCTAAAATTCTGCATTTTATCCTTGATTCTTCTTTCTCCCTCACCACTCGTATTCTATCTGATATTATCTATTCGATCTGCCTCAGAAATATCTCTTGAATCTGGCCCCTTTCTCTACTGAAATAGCTATACCCTTGGTTTACATTCTCATTGTGGCATTCAAACTATTTCATAGCTTCTTATTAAACTTGTCAACCTCCTTCCTTCTTAGGTCCATCTTGCACACGGTCGCATGAATGTGTACTGGTTTCCCCAAATTCCAAATTCCTTAGCAGGTCCTTTATGATGGGGATAAAAGGTCCGAAAGATAGATCAGTATCAGGTGATATAAAGCCTTAAATGCCTTGCTAAGGCATTTTGAAATAACTTATTTTTTTTATATACTCTTGGCTCTGGAAACCTATCAAAGGTTTTTGAGCAAAAGAGCAAAATAATTTAAAATTGTTTTGTTTTTTTAAAGATAATTCTGCCCAACCACACATATTGTCCAGGAGAGAGATGAGACTGTTACCAATGGGCCATCTCCTTGTTCTCTAAAATGGGAAAGGTGGTCAGGACCTGGACTAGCACAATGTCAGGAGAAGTCGAAAGGAATGGAACAGATTTTTGTAATTGCTGTTAGGTTTTTGAGAAAAATATGCCAAATTTCTTCTTGTCCCAAAGATGAAAATATTAAATTAATTCTTCTAAAAACCTCAGTAGCTTTATTATTTTGTTTATTTTTCCCTTATTCACAAATTCTTAGATGCTGCCCCCGCCACACACACCCTCAATGACATTAGACTGAATTGGGTGGCCTAAAACATATAAACTGCCTTTGCTGTAATTGGCCTGTTAGGAATTTTCTCTGCCCAGGAAAATGGATCATGCATTATTTATCAATAAAAGTATTTTAAAAGCACATGAGTACATCTTAGGAGAAAACATATATTATACAAGACCAGTGGGATAGAGATCACACTTTTTTTCATTAGTCAGTAATGACAGGGGACTTATTTTTCCATCTAGCAAGCCGCTGCAGAACAGCTTAATCTGACATCAGCGATAACGCATGTCTTTCTTTAGAGTCTTTTTAGTAAAAGATTCTGAGAGCAAGGATGAAGCCAGCAAGGAGGTATGAGAAATAATTTACAGATAAATTAAAAGCAAATCACCAGGCAGTGTAGTAGAGAGTACGTTTCTTTGGATTTAGAGTCCAGAGACTTCTCAAGTTTTGTCTTTAACACTTAAACTACTCAGTGATTAAATAAAACAGGGCTGAAAAATGTCCATTGGATTCAGTTACACAGATGGCACTGGTGGCTTGCTGAGAGCTGTTTCGGAGAGATGGGAATGGAGTCGAAGTGGGTTAAGAAAGTGAGTGGTGAAGAAACAGCACTGCCAAGTTTAGACAATTCCGTGATAACTAGTCGGATTAAATATCATTTTATATGTTTTGTTGATGATTTGCATTCTTTTGTGAATTGCCTGTGGACATTCTTTGGCAATTTTAAAATTTAGGATGTTTACCTTTTTAATTGGCTTACAAGACCTTATTGTAAAACTTTTTTTTTTTTTTTCAAAAAATACAGAAATAAGTAAAGAGGATCCCACTTTGTTAATACCATCCTACCCCCATCTCAGGAGCCCTCGTGGCACAGTGGTTAAGAGCTCGGCTACTAAAACCAACAAAAGGTCAGCAGTTCAAATCCACTAGCCGCTCCTCGGAAA